ATCCCAGCTTTTCAATAACATAATAATTTAGTGTTGATAGGGAAGTTAAACCCATACACTTACTTGTTTACTTATTTACTTACTTACTACCTTACTGACTAAAGAGAATCACACTTTAACGGATTGTACTATTTAGATATATTAGCTCCGATGGTCCGCAACCTGATTGCTACATGGTCGATATGGTACATCATTTATGTGGTATCGTAACTGATTGTATGATACATGGAGAGTTTAAATGTCTCTTGACCTTTTAAATTACAACAGCTTTTATACACACACACACACACACACACACACACACACACACACACACACACACAAACACACACACACAAGCACACATACAAGCACACACACACACACACACACACACACACACACACACACACACACACACACACACATACACTCTCTCTCTCTATATATATATATATATATATATATATATATATATATATATATATATATATATCCCACACTCTCTCTCTCCCTCTTTCTCTCTCTGTCTCTCTCCTGCCCCCCTCTCGCTCTCTCTCTCTCTCGTTCTCTCTCTCGCTCTCTCTCTCGCTCGCTCTCTCTCGCTCTCTCTCTTTCTCTCTCTCTCTCTCTCTCTCTCTCTCTCTCTCTCTCTCTCTCTCTCTCTCTCTCTCTCTCTCTCTCTCTTTCTCTCTCTCTCACTTCATGTTTTGTTCCATACAATAAGATCGCCTTCCCGCTTCTCTTTGCAACAAAGGTTGTCAACCTCATAGGAAAAGAAAACATGGTTTTAAAACCTTAGGAGAATAACCCCTCACCTTTCTTTTTACGTTTTTATCCCCCCACCCTCCACCCCCCTATTCGCTATACAAACAAACCTCACATACACACGATGTTCTTTTCTTTTCGCAACGGTTGGCTTATCATTAATAAAAAGCAAACCTGCACACACCATCTTGAGCCAGCTTTCTTGGAGGCAAAACGGTTTGTGTGCAACGGCAAAACTCACTCAGCCCTGAACCCGACAGTTTTTTGAAAGTTTTAGTAGAGGGTTAAACGGCGCTCGCAACTGCATAAGGTCATAATATGAGTGCAAAAAGGTGGATGTCTGCTCACCTCTCTAGCTTCAAAAGCATAAAGTCTGCTTCGATTATCAAGGCACCCCCGGAAAGAGCGGGACACAAGTGTGTGACAAACATACAAAAGAAGTAGAGGAAAATGAAGATAGTTAGGATTAGGAAAGAAAAAGCAGCAGTTCCCTGTTGTAATTCAGGCACAGTTATGAGCTTGACATTGATGAATCAGCCCATTTACAACTCTACCTTGCACAAGAACGAGAAATGCCCCCCCCCCCCCCTTTGGGAATGGCCTAAAGACACTTCAGTCAGTAGCACAGCCCCGGGGGGGTCAACCCGACAGTATTGGTGTGGATATTTCAACTGTTTGATAACGTAAATACACATCAAATAAGAACTGACTATACTTCATAAGTGACCCCTTGCCATTTTTTTATAAGACACAAGCGGGCTAAACCAAATTTCGGAGGTTTCTAGAATTAATTGACCTACACCAAAAGTGGATATTGCCCTACCAAGAGGATAAGTTTGGTTTCATTGGTGTGTATATTTGTTTAGTTATAGAGAAAACTCTCCTTGTCTTTTAAAGAAACTGAACAAGGTCCAAAAATTTTCCTTCTGATTTTCTCGACACAGCATTTTTCGGGAGAGCCCCCTTGTGCTTAAAAGCTACCAATTAGAGCATGACCTTACCTTGACAGGCTTGGTCGGTTTCAGATTCAGTTCCACGCTGTTGACCTCGATGGAGAACTCTGGACTCGGATGGCTCAGCGTCGTTAACTTCAACTCGACAAACTTAGGTTTCGAACCCAGGTACCCAGAGGCCAATTCTGGACGCTCTGCTTTGTTGCTCCTGTTTGACGACAAAGCTACAGACGAAGGCATCACGGGTGGATAGAAAGAATGGAGTAAACTGTAGTGGAGGAGGAATACGTTGGGGAGAAAGATAGAGTGTTCTTTCGCGTCTGTTGCCTCAGCAGACTGTCATAGACAGATTAAGTGACGCTTGGACAGACGAGCGCCTTCTATGTGGAAACACGATATGATGATAATACTGTGCTTGATAAAAAAAACTTTGTTAAGTTTTCTTGTTGTCAGGGGCGAAGGCTGACTTGTCTGACAGGGTAATCAAAGTGAAACGGGACCAGATAATATGGCCTGTAGATATCACACAAGAATTTTACTCGAGGCGGCGACTCTAAGTTGCGAATGAAAACAAATCCGGAATTTATATTGTATGTTCAACCGCCAAAATGATCGGGAAAGTATCTTATTAAATATCAATTCCAACTAAAATTAAATTATATTTTAAATGTGAATACACAAACACAAAGCAAAGAAGTAGAGATGTTAGTACTAGATCTATATGTTATAGATCTACCAGTGAGTCTAACTCTTTGGTAGAACATGACAATTATCATTTTTTAAATTTCACATTTAGCTGTTTTTTGTCTAGCCTTTCGCGGCTCGGAGCCGGAGTCATAATCGAGGTCACGATCTGATTATAGGACGGTATAAAGTGGAGGGGGAAAAAAACAAGCACTTGTAGCAGTCAAGAGATTGTTAGGAGTTAGTTCCCCTCACATTTGTGCGGTAGACTCGGTCAGTGTCAGTTAGCTTACATAATCAGGGCTTGTGATTGCTTAAAACTGTGGCCCCAAAGGGGTGAACAGGGTATATGTGGCAATGAAACAGTTTTGACTGCTATGCACATGTTCCCTTCAACTCTATTGGTAGACTCTTCCAGCCTCACTTTAAGCTTACTTAATCAAAGCTTGCGACTGCTTATGGAGTGGCCCGAGAGGGGTGAGCAAGCTATTTCTGTGGCCGTGAAACCGTTTTGAATGTTAGGCATACTGTTCATTGTTGATTATGAACGTCTTTTTACATTTAATATATGAGGTTTACGTTTATGGGTGAATTTGACAACGACAATGTTTGAAAATTAGGACGGGAAGCTGTGATTATTTGATTATATAGACGCTTCGCCACTGCTTTTTGTTGTTGTTGGTTTGTTTTGTTTTTTCCTTTCCTTAATGGGCCTGGCGGATTCCATGAAGAAAACTTCGAGGGAGAGCGAGGATCTTTTTCGGCCCCATTGTCAATATGCTTAGAGGCATCTCCACTCGTCCAAATAACTCAAGGACATGGGAGATATACACAACATGGCTGACATAAAACCAAAGGCAATGTCACGGCTTAGTGGGTTTCTTTTAAGGATAAGCGGGCTAACCCAGATTTCAGGGGTTTCCAGAAATCTTGACCTACAAATAAAAGTGGGCATTGTCCTATCTGTAGGAGAAGTTTGGTTTCATCGGTGTGTATATTTCTTCGGTTATAGTGAAAACTCTCCTTGTCTTTTAAGAAACTGAACTAGGGGCAAAAACTTTACCTTCAATTTTTTCAAAACAGCGTTTTTGGGGATAGCCCCCTTGTGCTTAAAGCGACCATTTCCAACTGTGAGCTTGCTCAGTTTGCGTACACTGATTTGATTTTGTGGTCTCTTTCTTTTTTTTTTTTTTTTTTGCTCTCTTTGTTTGAAGCGTAAGGTTCAACAACAACCATTACATAGATCTACATGTTGCTTCCTAAACGTTGTTTACAAGGGCGAAAAATCTCGGAGATCCCGCGTACAAGTTGCTCACTTTAAAGATCCCTTGGTGTTCTAAAATCGATAAGAGTAGGCTTCGGCTACCACCCGGGCAAAATTCCAAATTTACTACCAACAGTTTAATGTGTCCTGCGCACTCATATGACCTTATACTGTTGCGAGCGACGTAAAAAAAAACTTACAAAACAGAAAAAGACATTGCTTGTATCTCCACACTAACCATCCTACATAAATCAGAATCACGAATTTGCATATTACATAAAATGCATAGTATTATTGTTGCTTCTCATTTTAAAATGCGGAGGACGAAAAAAAAAACCCTTGAATAACATAGCGTGAAAAGAGTTTTTTCCTGTATATTTGACGGATGCGCGAGCTTTGCGTATTAAAATCGTCAAAGTCAAAGTGCACGCCCACCGTTCAGCACCAGGGGACGCCAGAAGTCAACTGAACAACAGTCTATGACGTCACTCTGTTTTCCCAAAGATAGTACATAACGAGATGGTCCACTCAAGCCAAAAAGTGTCCGCCGGAAGTCCGCTCTTTGCTTCAGATGGCGCTGCAGTCTATTTTGAAGCTCTCTTTCGTTTCTCCTGAAGAAGAATATGAATAGCACCTCCTTGTGTGCTCAGGTCGACTGCTGTTCCCAGCTGTTCGGGTTCTTTCAGGGCGCAGTTTTAGGTTGTTTTTTTATATTTTAATGATCTCTCGCCTTTCATTCTAAAGTCAAATTAAACGAAAAAACAGTCACCCCTTCCTCCGGAAGAGGTTTTTTTGTCAGCGTAACCATTAAAAAAAGCGTTCTTCCGATTGTTGAATTTTTATTTATTCAAAAACTTGTAAGTTTCACTTCAATTTATTAACACAAGTAGGGTAACTCTGTTCGCAAAGGGTGTGCATCTACGAAGAGGGCACCACTGAATTTTGAAGACACTTTTTTAATTGGCTCAAAGAGAGGAGTGGACCCTCTTGTTATGTAGATTCATTGGTTATCCGTTTAAGAGATCAGACATTTTGATGCGAAAAATATTTTTTAAAGCCTTGAACAACATGGTGTGAAATGCGTCTTTTCCTTTATCTTTTCCGAATGAGCGAGCTTGTACAAAGAGCGAGCGTCCTCAAAGCTTCAAAGTCAAAGTGCACTCGCACCGTTCAGCACCAGGGACGCCAGAAGTGTACTGAACGACGGTCTATGACGTCAGTCTTGTTATTCGTTGGAGCGATCAAGAAGTGCAACGTTCTATCTGCTCAGTCAACAAGTTTTGAGAAATTTGACGTCAAACATTTTGAGTTTCATAACAAATCAAGCTTTTTCGAAAGCAATTCTTTCAATATCTTGATAATGACTCTGCATAATCCAACAATTTAGTGAAGATAGAATATTCGGTTTCTGACCCCAAGGTCTTAGAAGCTCAAAACGGCCAAAATGCCAGATAGAACTGTCTAATTCTAAGGTAGCGATTTGTTTAGTTTAGTTTTAGTCAAGAGTTTTACGGCACTTGCAACACAATAAGGTCATATAAGTGCCGAAGATTAGAGGTGTTACAAGAGAGGAACAAACACAAAATAGAAGGAGGAGAGATCAGGACGATAGACGTTTGATAGGAAAGAAGAAGCAAACCACACCAGAGCACCCGCCAACCACCCACGATTTGTGTGCCCCTACTTCGCGAAGTTTCTGCTAATGAAAGCAAAGAGCGATTTATTCTGTTTTTTCTTCAAGGTTAAGAAGGATGACGTACGGAAGCGGCCAATAAAAAACAACCCAAACAAAACCTACCAAAAAAACAAAACCGTGACAGACCATGTCAATGACCTTTACACATACCACGCACACATTAACACTTGCGGGAAGCAAACAATTATTTGAAGCTTCATGGAAGAAAAACACTTGAGCCAAGAGAGAAGTCCGTAAACTAGGCTAACTCTCGTGTGGAAGTAAAGCTTTTAAATGTTTTTTAAAAATATGGCAAACTCTCTTCCGCCAAATTTTTCTCATTGGCAATAAATAGCAGAATTTACAAGTCGTCACATTAAGGTCTGCTTCACTTGCAAATAGATCGTTTGTCATTCTTCTCCGTAGAAGCATTAGTATTGGTCAGACATTGGCATTATTGTTATTATTATCACAACCATTATTATTATCATTATGATTATTATTATCATTGTTATTCTTATAATCATCATCATCATCATCATCATCATCATCATCATCATCATCATCATCATCAACATCATCATCAT